TTCTCGCCGAAAAACAGAGGTATGTTGCGTTATACTCTGTTCGTCCTCTCCTGAGAAAAGCAGAAAAAAAATTGACTTTCAATGGTGCATTAGTCGATCAAGAATCAGCAAAGATCCCAACAACACAAAATGGACTCGAGACACCAAAACGTTCGGACAGAAGATTCTACGCGCCCAAGGATGGGAACCCGGACAATTCCTCGGAGCGCAAGATGCGGCTCACTCTGAGCTGCACACTGCCGCCAACGCATCATACATTCGCGTGGCTCTCAAAGACGACATGAAGGGCCTCGGCTACAACAAGGCCAAGGAGGACGAAGTCACAGGCCTCGATGTCTTTTCTGATCTTCTGAGTCGGTTGAATGGCAGGTCAGAAGAGTCTGTCGAGGACGAGAGGCAAGCGCGGCTGGTGGTCAAAACGAACCGGTATGTAGAGGCGAAATGGGGCCCCATGCGGTTCATTCGGGGCGGATTGCTGGTCGGCGATGAAATCAAAGTAGAGTCCACGTCGGAGGAGTCGACGCCCACTTCCGAAGTCGACGAAAGAGGCAAGAAATCCAAAAAGGACAAGAAGAGCAAGAAGCGAAAGGCAGGGGATCTGGAAGAGGGCGAGCCGGAATCAGCGCACGCAGCAGATGCCGAGAAGAAGGAGAAGAAGCGAAGAAAAGAGGAGCGGAGGGCTAAAAAGCTGGCTGCAGCTGCGGGAGCCGAGGACAACACGGCCGATGAGGAAGGGCGATCAAAGAAGAGGTCCAAGAAGGACAAGTCCAAGTCAAAGCCGGGTTCCGAGGCGGAAGACGGGTCGACGACCGACTCCAAAAGATCTAAAAAGGACAAGAAGAAACGCAAGACGGAGGAGGCAGAGGGGGGTGATTCAAATTCAGCTACGGCATCTGTTCCGACGTCTACAGTAACTACGGGCACTTCAACGCCTACCGGGAGCGGGACGGGAACTTCAACACCGAGAGGGAGTCGCAATTTTGTTCGATCACGGTTTATTGCTCAGAAAAAGCAGGCGGTGCTGGACACCAAGGCCTTGGCTCAGGTTAGTTTCGTGCTTATTGCGGCAAGATGCCAGCGTCTGGGCAGGTTGTGTTTTGCTAACGAACTTGCGCAGATCTTCATGGTCAAGACATGACCGCATTAGTGGAGTTTGCACGGGATTGTAGCCTGGAATATAGGCGTTGATTTTCAAAAAGCGTCGATTAGCCTTGTCATGGCGTTTATGTCTTTTGCATTGATTGACATGTTTGATATAGACAGATACAATACATGTCTGGATTGCACTCGGTGTCGCTACTTGGCGATGCAAATCAACGGGTCACACCAGTGGCTGCATATGGATCGTACGATGTCGCAAAATCACACAAGACCTCGCGTGACATTAACGGCACACTCAACTTGTTGCAATACTCAATTACACGATTTCATAGGTAATCGCAAACTCGATACAATAAAACCCCAACCACTGAACCATGCAGAAGCCGCCTCACCCAGACACCCAGCCTAATATACATCAAGAAAACAAAGCCATTTTCACTGCGCCCAGTCAATCGCGGTACGACGACGTATGAAAGCTAATGTTTTTTCTTTTCTTGTTTTTTTCTTGTTTTTTTACTTTGTATCCCGGCCAAAGTTACTGTGAAAATCTTGTCAATGAGTTGCCATCACACAAAAAGGGACAGCGCGCGAATAACAAAAGGGCGATGAACATACTTGTGGAAGAACTGGCTAAAGATGCCGCCCTTGGCCTGCTGATCGGACATGCTCTGGCGACGAGCAGCATCCTGGTTGTTCTTCTGCTGCTGGAGGGATTCGAATGCTGGCATCCAGCCGGAGCTCTGTGGCGTCGTGTTAGCACACTGATGGCGGGACAGATAAAGAAAAAAGAAACAAAGGGGGGAAACAAGAAACAGAAAAAGCAAAGCTCGGGCGAGCTGCGAGCTGCGAGGAGTGATGCAAGACGGTGACTTACTCGTCGGCGAGGGGCGTTGCCGCTGGTGGTGGTGGGAGAAGTCTGGTTTGGTTCGCTCATGATGGCTAGGAATTTCACCTCTGTTGTGGATGGGAAATGAAGAATAGGTTCTTGTTTGGTTGATGGTAGATGGGCTCAAGCTGGTAGGGAAGCACGAGACGCGAGACACGGCAGGGACGGATGATTTGAAGGCAATGAGGGGTCAAGCTGCCCTTTTAATACTACATTCAATGGCATCGACAGGCAAAGGGCAAGCTCCTGGCGAGGGAAGAGGGGAGGCACCAGGACGCTTCGAAAAGCGGAGCAGATGGCATTTCGGGAATCTACAATAGGTCTCGTCCAAAGTCAAAGGTCAGACAGAGGTCGAGCTGTTGGTGAGAGGGAGGGGGAAGTGCGACTCCAAAGCGGCGGACTGGTCCAATGACGTTGTGTCGGTGGTGAAGCCACAGCAGGAAAGCATCAAATGGGATTTTGCACATCACCTCACGGCCCCTCCTTTCTTCCCTTCTCCTGGTGCGATCGGCCGTTGCAGTGGTGTGCTTGGGATCGCGACGTTCCACGGGCAGGCTGGGCGAGTTTGTCAGCGTCATTGGCCTTGGGTTGGCCTTGGGTGATTGCGGTCATGGTTGTTGTCCGATGGCATTCCATATCCCAGGCAGAGAGAGGGTGAAGCGTTGATGGGCCGCGTCTTGTCAGATATGCCACGACGAAAGGTCAGGGACCTGTGGGGACCTGCAATGACGACCAAAGGCGTCGATTGGCCCTCCTGGAAGTTCGATTCGTGATTTGGGGCCCCAGATCGAGCCGATGGTTTCGACGTCTTTTGCTCTGCGGCATGTCCCATGTTCCCTGATGATCGGGGTCGTGGGCGTCATGGCATGACGTCCCGTTGAAATGGACCCCGATTGTAGCCATGGGGACCCATTCACTGAAACCAAATCGCCGGAGTGGGCACTTTGTGGGGTTGATGCATGTGGTGACTTGGGTGTTCGATAAACAGTCAACAGCCCTGGTGACGGCGGCACTTGCATGACCCACACAGCCGGGGGCATCAACGTCAAATGTAATCACGGAGTGAAGATAAATGTTGTCATCCGCTCCGAGTCGATAGCTTTATTTTGACAAGAGGCTGAACGGTGTCTGGTGCAGTGCAGTGTGCATCGCCCATCGTCAACGCCACCAAATAACCTCGATAGTCTAGTCTAGCCTTTCTCGTCTCACACAATTCGAGTCGTCTCATGCAGCCCTGCTTAATTGAGGTAACAATGAACCCAGGCCAGCCAGAATTACCGGTCCCACGCAGTTCGCAATTGGGTGGATTGCACTTAAAATAGATTATCAGACGGCCAGGTCAGACATCTCAGCTGTGATACGGCTTCTCTCGCCCTGGAATGAATGATGTCTCGGTTGGCGGCTTCATTTGTCTGTTGGGCGCGCCATGGAGATATAAGGATAGCCTAGTTGGCCCCTCGCCCAGATGATAGTGTGCTTTCTCTCGACGTACCAGTCCTTTTTTCAACAATTCAATCAACAGTTTGAATAAATATGAAGGTCGCTGTCATTATTGCTGCCTTGAGTGTCGCCGTCATGGCGTTTGATGGTCCTGCACCCATTGACCATGGTAGGCGCATTGACAAGAGGGACAGGGAGCAGGAGTTTGGACGACGCCATGGCGCGAATATTCCCGGCCTGAGCTTCATGGAGCAGCGCGAGGAGGAGGCTGCCAAGGTCTAGGAGGCTGCTACGGCTTGAAACTATTCCGTCTGCCAGATTGCTCAAGGTTAGTAGTAAAGATCACCCTTTATGAGGAGCGGTGGACTGGTATTGACACCCTGTAGGGCCGCTTCAAATATTGGAATAGGTCACATTGGCATTCCAAAAAAAAAAAAAAGACAAGAAAAGGATGGAAGGAAGAAAAACGAGCGGTATTGAGGTGGCTGCAGATCGGATTCTAGAGACTGGAGGCACGAGAGGCCCAGTAGTGGTTTGCAACATCAGCGGACTGGTTACCGATGATATCTATCGACTGCAACTTGTTTCATTGAATCCAACCATACGACTGGTGTCTTATCATGGCATTGCTGATGTGTTAACTGCAACGCGTATCAGCGACAACGAATGCTTGAAAATAGAGTGACATCTACGGCAAGTCAAATATTCAGGAGTCCAATAATGATCTTGCCGTCCAAGGTAGCTTCTGTGTTTTTGAAACTCGCAGCCTGCATTTTTTGTTGAAACATCCCCCGCCAACTTGCATTTGTTTGTGCTTCCAGTCAGTCTTTATGTCTCCCAATAAACATTGGAATGCGATAAGCTGCATCGGCGCAGCGGTATCGAGTGATGGAGCACAACCAACCGATTGCACCGCCGACTAAGAATACCTCTTTAATGCGAATGACACCGACATTGGCCAGTGACAAACTTATTCGTGGAGTAGTAGGAAGCACAGCGTGGGTTTTGGATCCTCCAGTCCTCGGCAGCTAGATGTGGTTTATGGCGCTGCGTTGGCAGCCTCTTTGATGTAATTCAACGACGCTGATGAGAGCTTTACCAGTGAGTAGTAATGTATTTACTGCGTCTATCAGTCAAGGCAGCTCGTGGAGGCCGAAAGCAAACATAGACAGGTTTGGTTGGGGAAAGGACGTTGTATGTCAAGAGTACGACAGAGTACGCAGCGATTAGTCTGCCGCCAGCGCACGTGTCCCACTGGCCACTGCCCACCGCCCACCGCAACAAGACGCCTGGCCGGATTTAGTATTGATCCAACGGCCCGTACGACAGTGCTGCGCCCTGTTATTCATCCGTAGAGCCTCGAAAGCTTCGCCAGCTTATTGGCACAAGGCTTCGTCAACATCTCTCTCCCAACGTCAAGCGCTCGCGCATGCGTACATGAAGTAGCGCTACCACAAGCGCACACTTCAGATCCGCATTGTAGAGCTTCGCCTCATGACCTGCTCCGTTTAAACGTGAGCTGCCTCAATGCAGTGCCTGCTCAGTCACTGTAGATGACGTACACGAGACGACTATGAACCATGATGATACGTCAAGCTCGCCCGCCCCAGCTGCCGAAATCCCGTCATCGCGACAGATAGAAGACTACGATACGATACCGATTCCCACGGCAACCGATGCCGAGTCAGAGCCTGGGGCCGCGGATGCGGATGCAGATGCGGATGCAGACGCAGATGCAGATGGCGATGTAGATGGTAACGACGGCGGGCCGCAGTCTCGCTCGCGGCGTCGGCGCAGGAGGAAGGCCAAAAAGGACCGTAATCCCGGGCTTGCCAAGAAGCTGTCCTTTGTGACACATCTACTCAAGACGCTGGATTTACTCGCTTTTGCCGAACTAAGCGGCCTGTATTATATGGAGTCCGTATATGCCCGGAAACGTCCCTTGTCTCTTGGCTGCCTGCGATGCTAACTGCTCAGGTGCTCCATGTTTCGATTTCTCCTTCGCGCAATCGGCCAATACATGTACCTTACTCCGAAAGACGAGGCCTTTCCCTTCCTCATGCCTGCCAGCAGGGTTCACGTTCTTCTCGTCGTTATCCCAAACTTCATATGCATCTTCCTGCACCTCTTTACATCGCTGCCACGGGGACCTGATTTCCACCGCGGCTACCAACACGGCGGGCTTGTCATTGATTTCGTCGGGCAACGGCCCCCAACGTATAGAATATACTACTTGCTGGCCGACTTTGCTATTCTTGCCATTCAGTGCCTCATGTTGACGGTGCATACGCAACGAGAGCAGCTCCGCGTCATGTTGAGGACGTTTCGGCCGATATTGCCTGAAATCGCCGAGGAGTTGGAGGCGGCGGTGCGCTCAATACAAGATTTGGATGCCGAGGAGCGAGGGGTATCGCTGCATGCCCAAAATAGCGCTGCTGCTGCTGCTAGTGTAGACGATGGCGGAGGCGTCGAGATGCGCGAGCGCAACGGGTTTCACCAAGCGGGAGAGGCGGGTGAGCAGACTGGTGAGGCGGAGACATTGCTGCGAGAGAGCACGAGCGAGGGCTCATCCAGGGCGCAACTTGCGGATATAATGAACTCTGGGAATGCGGTGGTCGGCGAGTATTACATTGTACAATCAGTCTTGTCTGCTGCTGGCGATCTTGAGCGTTCAGCGGCACATTCGCTCCGTTCAATAAGTTACGGGGCGACATTGGCCACCCTACAGGCGAGGAGAAGGGCGGTCATTGCCCAGTCTGCTGCAATACGACCAAATAGATAGATTTGTGGCCTGGTGGTTGGAAATAATAGTATTTTACTTTATTTTGCAGATTTTCGCCATTGAACTCCAGACCCAACGTGGCATTGACGCCGTCTAGGCTATCTTTCTGCCCACATTACCAACACCTGTTCCCTTGACTGAAACAATAATATCTCCGGATTCGTCATCCTCCACGTCTCTCAGGCCCCAACTGCTGGCACCAAATGTCCTCAAGTCCCGCGCCAGGGAAACCATATCCTCCGTCGCCAGAACTTTCTTTCCTATTCTTAACCGACCAACATCTTCTGAGCCCATCGCCATGAGTATCAGCATGGCGCTCGCTGATATTTGGGTGGCGCAACCGCCTTCCGCAATCGCCTCCAGTAGCTGATACGCACACTTCTTGCCAATATCCTCTGGAACCATGCCGCCCGACGGAGGAACCACCACGTCAGCCGAGTAGAGAATACCGGCCGCACTCGATTCGGCAACAAGACTCAGGCCAAACCCAATTCCTAGTCGACGTTTGCTACCGGCCTTGTCGCCGGTAGGCACCAGCGGCGCCTGATCATATTGCGCCGCGACGTGTATGTCCGCCACCAGAGGGTTGAGAACCTCACGGGCAGAGTGAATCATTCGCCCGTTATTGGAGGCGGATACTCCTGTGCTGTATGCCACCCCACGTATTCTCTTTATTCGCCCCGGGCTGCGGTTCAGGTGTAGCGTCTTTGGTAGCCTAACTTGACTCGCAAACCGGAGCTCAACGCACCCGCCTCCCCCCTTGCCACCGGGTCCCGCGCATGATCTTTGCAGGACTCGCAGTTCGATCCGGACGGGCGGGATGCCAAAGAGCGCAAAAAGAGGGAGGATGGCTGTTCGGAAGGTGTCGACGGAAACGTCGCCTGTTTCCGTGGCGGATGTGATGACGCCAGCACCGGAGAAGCGTACATTCATGTGGGCTTTTGAGAAGGGAGCCAGGAGGCATAGTGGGAGGAGGAAGTATGTGATGCCGCGAGTGCAGGTGTCGGGAATCTTGTGCACGAGGACATCCCCGTCGGTGGCGCCTTGGCCGGCAATTACGCCTGTGATGAGGCCCGGGTGATAGGTTATGGTTGTACCGGTGTAGGAGATTTGCATAGAACTGCCATTGGTAATGGCTTCGAGAAGTCGGAGAAAAGATATCTCGTGTGGTGCCAGGCCCGGGTTGGTGGGGGATGTGCTTCGGATCTTGGATATGTGTACTGGTCGGCCGGTTAGGGTGGAGAGTGTGAGACGCTTGGTGAATGATCGGTGGCCGGTGAACCGCAGGAACTCTGGAGAATTCGACATGATGCCCTGATTTTCCCGTTTTCTACCTTTACCGGGGATATCTCCAAGTACATTGTACGTATGGGTGGTTGACAAAAAAATTAATTTTCTGCCATCTCGTCTCCACTTAGTTTCAAAGAGGCAGGTGGTGGATGCTATCTGGCAAATAGACTGTCCACGTCCCTGTCGGCCAATGTCAATCTTATCGATAGTGCGAAGCTTTGATTCTCGACAAATAGTCAAGGTATCTAGGGGAGACGCTCTGAAAAGGCTTTCGGGGACTCACACCTCCAACCCATCACTGGGTACGATTCGCCGACAGCATGCCTGGCAGGCCACTGCTCTTCGACTTACAGAGCCGAAATAGCCCGATATGTCGAACGTGCCTGCTTGCCATTCGGCAAAAGATAGTGCCGCCGAGAGTTGCTGCGTACAGCTCACAAGCTCCCCCAAAGACCGAGGCAAAGCAGCCTTCTCGAAATCATGCTTCGATTTCGAGACGTCCCACCAAGTCTGAGCTGGGGCAATACCTCCAGGGCATCAAAGATTTGCAACAACAGTCAAGAAACAACGAAGACAGCCAAGGATTCTCGGTACGGTTCTTCGAACAAGACGGGCATAAGCGAAGCGAGGTACCAAACGGCGAGGCGTTCGATGACTCCGTGGGAAAATTAGACGGTTCCGAATTGAAGGAGGCCCTCCGAGATATACAAGCCAGTTTGGGGTCAAAGGAAGAAAAGGATGCATTTCAAGCTGTGCTGCGTGAGATTGGCGGCGACGTGAGTAGCGTCGAATCTGCTAGGGATTTGGAAAAGATGATGGAAAGGATGGAGGCATATACGAAATCAATCGACGCCGAAATTGAGAGTGCAGGCTCCAACTTGCCGAAAGAAGTACTAGAGGAGCTACAAAGGGACTTGAGGAATCTGCCCCTGAGCGATCATGACTGGAGACCTCGGGTCGCCCTACCTCAAATCTCCGAGAAGCCCTGGACACCAAATCAACGCAAAAAGATTAGCAGGCTCAACGTGATTCTAGCACGAGCTTTTCGAGAATCCCGTCGCGAAAATGGGCTCACCAAGAACACCGTATCAGCAGTGTACAAGGCCTATCACGCGGCGAGAATCACACTAGCTCGTAGTTGGGGCCATGTTCCTATCAACGTGTGGGACTTGCTTTGGACAGTCCTTTCTGCCGACGAATCCATCAACATTCACCGATTAGCTCACGTCTCGTTACTCGCGAGAGACATGAGCGAGGCCAGAGTGACACTCAGCCCGTCGCAGCAACTCGTCACAATTGAGGCAGTCTTTGTCGACGGCTGGGAAGCAAAGGCGATTGAAAATTGGAAACGTTGTGTCAGCACTCTCGGAGACGAAAAGGCCGAAACATTCCAAGACTACTGGGAACTCGGTGTCCGGATATTCTGTCGGGCTGGTGATTTGGATCAGGCCGAGCGGGCTGCCAACATACTGTTGAGCAAGCGCATGGATCCACGCATATTATTGCCTCTTATTCGAACATGGTCTGAACAAGCAACTCCGAAAAGCCAAGAGCAGGCGTGGACTGCGTATCGAAGGATGCGAGAGTTGCTAGACAAGGAAATGAGGCTATCCGACTACGATCAGGTTATATCATACTTTTTAACAACAAATCAGACCGAAAATGCCCTGTTCGCATTCGTCGACATGATGAGCGACGGAGAGATCGACCTGAAGAAGCAAAAGTACATGCCGTCGGTCGTGGCCAATAAGTTCTTCTTGGGCAAATGGCTCAAACGGCTGATTGGCGCTGGAGATCTCAACGGGGCTTTCAGCGTCGTGGAGTTTATGCGCAAAAAGGGTGTGGCCGCGTCTCCCATTCATCTCAATGGTCTCATTGGTGCATGGCAGAGATCCGGGGGTGCAACTGATCTAGAAAACGCAGACAGACTTGCGTGGGAAATGATTGAATCTCGTATCCGTTTCGTCAAGTCGCGGGCTGCGTCACCGGCCGGACCAGAGCCAATTGCCTCCTGGCCGCGAGCAACGCTCGAAACCTTTTCTCTCATGGCAGAGAACTACCGTCTGCGTGAAGTACACGCCCGCATGGAATCCCTCTGGGACGCCTTTCGCGAGTCGGAAATCAGCCCAGACGCCTTCATGATGAATCAGCTCCTCGAATCATACCTCCAGGCAGGTCAGCCCAAAGACGCACTTGAGCTGTACCGCTCCCTCGTCACGCAACGCGGCATCTCCCCCGATCCCTATACATTCAGCGCCCTGTGGAAAACTCTCCCCATAAACAGGCTCCACGTCATCTCTCCGTCTTCGCTGCCGGCAGAAATCATATCCACGCGGCAACTATTTTCCGAAACTGTCGGGTTCAAATCCGTTTTCGAACCAGACGGCATGGACGGCCAGCTCGCGCGTAAAATTCTCCATACGTTTCGCCGACTCAAAGACAACGCAGGCTTCCTTGTGGCGCTCGCCGCCCTGAAACAAGTATTCAAATTCTCACCCCCAGAGACGCTAGTCGTGGAACTTGTGCTTGGCACGACAAAACTATCGTGGGATAGTGCGTCGCAGAGAAAGCGTCTTATTCTGGTCAAGAGGACACTGGATAACGAGTTATTGGCGTGGGCGGAAGGGGATGTGAGCAAGCTGGAGGGCGAAAGAAGAGGGGATGCCCTGTATGAGTATTTGCAAAGAAAGTTCTGGTTCGAGGGGACGGATAAGCAGAGGAGAGAGGTTCTGATGGATGCGGCGGGGGAGATGGGTAGTTTAGATGTGTTGGCGCCCAAGTCGTGAATGAGGCCTCGTGTGGCTGGCATATGGAGAGCAATGTATAATAGACAGCGTGTATAATAGACTCTCTTCGATCACAGATGTCACCATGGCCATGCTCAAATGAAGCAGTTTTTGACCGTGTACTTCTTTCAGTGTGCAGGCTAGAACAGCTACATCGCGCAAAATGAAATAGTGGTATTCTTATTTCCATGCCCACCGACCCAAACGCCTCGCTATGCATAAATCAAGTCCTCCCACAAAAGATAAGGTGGTGGCCCTTCACCCGACCATTCGTCTTAGGTCCCCCAACTCGTTTCTGTCCATGACCCCGATCGCCCTAGGAAAGGTCCATGTCATCGTCAAGTCTGCTCCCTACTGAACTCAATCCCGAACTGGGGGTAGGCGAGCCTCGATCGCGACTCGTCTCGCCGCGGTTCGTATTTGCCAGGTTGGTGTGAGATGAGCTTCGCTGCATGATCCATTCATTTACGCTCGTCACCGGTCCGCCCTCGACTTGGATCTCGGCAATCGTATCGAGGGACCTGCCAATAACGGTTCCCGTGAATTTGCTATCTTCCGCTGTTTTGGCGTGCTTCTTCTTGAGGGCTACAATAAAACGTTAGTGTCTTGGTGTCGCCCTGTTCCTATGCAGCCAAAGTGGTGTATCCAAAATAAAAAATAAAATTAAAAATCTCACCGTTCAAATAATCCGTCGCGTCGATTTCACCATCTCCGATTCCCATCTCCATAAGTTCCGTCATCCGTTGACCTGAAAACCAGTCGATGAACTCATCTACACCCGTCGTGTCTTCCTCCCCGAGCCATGATTGCTCCGTGGCGGTCTTCTCCGGTAGTAGCGCGCCGACTTCTTGGAGAGCCAACCGCGCATCAACGATGGTGTAGTCACCCGCATCGCCTTGGTTGTGGATGGCGTGCGAGGCGGTCTTTTCACACAGCACGGCTAGGTATCGACCTGCGATGTCCGTGAGGGAATCTACTACGGATGGTTTCGCAGAGTGGTAGCCCGTCGAGCGGAGGATCTGGAGGATAGCAGGCCGGAGGAGCGCGTGAAAGAATGCTGATTGCGTCGTCATTGTGAAGAATATTGGGAGCGCGAGAGGATGTAATCGTTTGCTGGGCGATCGTATGGCGTAGGGAGCTTTGCGCTGCTGTTGTTGCTGCTGTAACCGACGGTGTCGCGATCGAGGACCTCATCGGCTGGTTCGCAATTGTGAATCACAGCGCATATTCGGAGGAAAGGCCGTTTCCTTGCTTATGTAGTGTTTGTCGCTCGATTTTGGAGTATCAGCTTCGGCGTGTAGTAGGAGCTTCTGCAGGTTTGAGTTTGCTTGTGCAGGTAACAAGCTTGCTGGAAGGTTGGGGGGGCATACAGTGCGTATATAATGCAATTGGTACTTCGCACGGACTCATGTCTCTAATATGGCCGGACTCGAACTGGCTTGATTATTATATTCATTTATCCAACCTCCCGTATGCTCTTTATTTTGGCATTACGTTCATTTTGTTCGCATATACGCACGCCCAAACTACGCGGCCTCTTCCTGGCCAGCAATTCCACTATACTTATTGATAAAGCCCAATACTTCTCGGTGCCACACAAGAGAGTTCTCTGGCTTGATTATCCACTAAAGATCTTGTCAGCTAGCCTGGTATTTTGTTTCTACGCGAACTTTTGTAGTGAGCACTCACATGGTTCTCATCCGGGAATACAACAAGCTTACTCGGGACCTTTCGGGCTTGCAGAACGTTGAACATGGCCAACCCCTCAGAAATAGGCAGTCTATAATCCAACTCATTGTGCAGAACCTATCCAGATACATCAGCTTTGGACATAAACAGTTCAGCGGAATGAACGAACCATCATTGGAGTTTTCCAATTCTGGCAATGCAGAGATGGATCCCATCTGGCATAGGTCTCTCGGTTCTCCCACAGTGTGCCGCCAAAGTCATGCTCGGGGAAAAACAGTTCCTCAGTTGACCATTGATTTTGAGTAGAAAATACACCGTCATGGCAGACGAGGGCCTTGAACTTGCGTCCTAGGGGTTGGCCCTGGATCCAGTCTAGAAAGAGGCTGTTAGCGGGCTTTCTCTTCGGCTTCGGCATCGCGGCCATACATACTGATCATGTAACCTCCGTACGAAGCTCCCAGCGCGACTGATCGTGAGGTGTCAATGTAATCCACATTCTTTTCCAAGTGCTCAAAGCAGAGCACCAAATCCTCATAAGGGTTACCTCCCCAGTTACACGTGATGGCGTCAATGTGTTTCTGGCCGTAACCAGTGCTGCCAGTCGGGTTAGGGGAAACGACAACGTAGCCCTGCTCGGCGAAGATGGCTGGGTTCCATCGTGTACTCCATTCATCCAACCAAGCACCCTGCGGGCCGCCGTGGATCAAGAAGGCCAGAGGATACTTCTTTGAAGGGTCAAAGTTGGAAGGTTTTGTAACGAGAGCGTGCACGTAGTACCCGAGCGAGCCGCGGTACCAGAAATCAGCTCGCATAGAACTGTTGAGACCAAATGATTTGCCATTCTTGGAACTCGACGAGATCTCAGTCACTGACTCTGATGCGGGGTCCAAAACAGCGTACAGCGAGCTCTCAACACGGGACTTAGAGCTGATGAGCAAGCTGGGACCATCCCCCAGCAACTTGGCATCACTAACGCAGCCGTCCAGATGGAAAGGTGTAGGCAGCTCATTAGCATCGGCAGGAGAAGAGGGAAGCTTCCAGAGTACAATTTGGCCTTGCTTCTCAGCGCCGACGTACAAATCCTTTTCGTCGTGGCTCCAGATGATCCAGTCTGGCCTCAGGTCCCAACCGCCTTCGCCATCGCTCGTCTCATAAAACTCTTCAACGTTGCTAAGATCGTTGACGTCGGGAATGAGCAGCAGCCTGGTCTTGTCGGCCTCGTACTGAATATTCCTCATTCTAGCAAAAGCAATTTTGCTGCCATTCTTGTTAAAGGTTGGAGCGATACTGTAACCCACCAAGTTGCCGGTCTTGACAATCAGCGGAGCGGGTGGCTTCTCAACAAACGACTTGATGGGCACGTAGTAGAGGTCAGTCTTGGTGTATCTTGCGGGATTGATCTTTGGATCCCTGGCCACGAAGCAGATGCCATGGGCGGAGATGTCAAAATCGCCAGAGGCTCCGAATGGAGGAACGGGAGACTTGAGGTCGGTACCGGCCAAGAGGTTAGTCAGGCCCGGGCTTTCCAGAGCCCATTTTCCGTCAATCTTGGCCAGTCGGCCGTACCATAATGAATTCTCATTCGGGGTGTTCCAGGTATCCCAATGTCGGACATAGAGAGAGGTGTAAATCTTGGCCGAGTCGTGGGTCTTGTGTTCGGCGGGAGGCCAGTACAGCTCCCCCTTGGGAGTGGTCAGTCCGGCGAAGCAAATGGCGACCTTGCCGTTTGACAAGACCTTGGTCTTGGGGCTTGAGACATTTCCAGCCAAGTAGTGGACCATCTGAGGTCTAAGTTTTGGTGCGTACCGAGTATTAGTCCCATGCTTCATTGCTCTGGCGGTGTGTAACATACTCTGAGTTGTCCAGCACCCGCTGGGCCATAATCATGGTGCAGCCATTGTCGCCGCCCTTGAGATACATGACCTCATTCTCGCCAATCCAAACGGGGTCGCTGGCGCCCGAATCCTCAGACACAAGGTGGGAGGTGCCTTCTTTGATGTTGAGGACCCGGATCTGAGAAGACTTGGAATGAGTCTCGAACGAGTACGCAGAAACCTAGAGTCAGGTCAGCTGAGTAGGCCAGCTCGAGGCAGTTTTCGGGCGTATCCAAAGACATAGGCCTGAATAAAACACATTCAATTAAGCGCAAAGGAGCGAGGACCTACGGTGTAGAGCACCAGTTCACCCGTCGAGTTCGGGACACCAGCCGAACGACGAGGGGCAGAAAGAAGCACCTCTGGGGTGAAGCGAGCCGCGTGGACCGTCATTCTGGGCAATTGCATCTAGAAATCAACCCAGCAAAGGCAGGGACTTGCGAATATGAAAGGAGGAAGAGAAGTCTTTGGGTGGCACAGGTGTCGAAAATGAAGGAGCTCGAGGTCGTCCTTGCCTAGGACAACGTACGGGGTAGTTCCGTTTACGTACTTATGCGGCACCCACATGAGCAACCTCTACGGCCAGACTGTCTAGCCAAATTTATCGCACCGAGAGCAAAAAGTGAGGCTTGGGCCCACGAGAGCACGAGAGACCTTCCAAATCCATCAACGAATTTGAGGCTTCGATGTACAACTCACTCCGGAATAGGGTTTCACAGGAACGTGAGGAGAGCTCCCTCCCCCGCCTCCAGACACTCGAGCCCCGCACGGAACCAGCCATCTTTGGTGAGGAGAGGACCTCCGCCGCGCCGCACGCATTAGTCGGCCAACATTTCGCTATCAGGGTACGGAGTAGTGCTACTACTACTCGTGCCAAGGTAAGGAAGGGGAGGGCACCAGAAAACCAGTGGGCATGTCCACCGTTGCCGTAGCTGATGCAGTCGTCCAATACAGCACCAAACAAAGACGGAAGCTGATGTGGTCCTCTGCCTTTGTATGCTTGTAAGCGCAGGTGCCCATCCGTCTTCCCCAGTGGCTGGCTGTAGTTACCCTGTTGAATTCTGGATACTCCAAAACTAGGGTCATTGAAATTTGAATCGAAAGGGCTACCGTACAGAAGTGTCTGGGCCACAGCCACGATAAACCGTAACCGTCGTCATTCCAAAGTGGTGACAAGGTACGAATTACACATCACGTAGCTGATTATGATCGCAGCCCCCTCCAGAAGAGCGAGTTGTGTGTTCCATTTCTCTCTGCCAGCGTAACGCAAATGCTGCTGTGTAAATCGTCCCGCCATCTATTCTAGACAGGCCATCCCATTCCGTCCGTAACGCCAACCCCAAATGCCAAGACGGCTGGGTTTATTCGCAATCCAATATCCCAATGCTACAATCCTCTACCGAACTCCCAACTCCCCAAAATCAAGAAGAACCAACGGCTCAACACCCAAGCTTTCCTCCGACTCTACTTTCTTGATGCTCCGAAATTTGTCCTCTTCTTATTGCCCCCGCCATCATTCTCACTATCCTCGACCTCCTTGTCGGCTACAGCAGCCGCCTTCTTCTTCTTGCTATTATTCTTTGCTCCCGCTCCTGACGACGGCGTTCCGTTATCCCGAAACGAAGCCGACACAGGCGTGGGCGCGTGCGATGCTGGCGTCGATCCGGGCGTTGAGTCCTACAGAAAATGCCCCATCATCAGTATGTAGTCCAAACAAAAAAAAAAACACACCGGGCGTCGTGTCAAAAAGTACCCCGTTGTTTGGTCTATACGAAATAGACGACTTGGAAAAGACGCGGTTCTGGTCCGCCGGTCCTGTTTTGCGTCTTTGTGCCGCCGCGCCGCTCGTTCCTTTCATGTAACTGTCGAATCCGGTAATGATGTTTCCGCTCGGTGTGCTTTCAAGGTATGCTGCTTCTTTGGAGACAATGTTGTCTTCTACTTGCGTCTGCGTTATGCTATTAGTGCCCAAAACCCCTCGCAATTCCCCGGGTAGAGACCTACGAGACGCTTCTCCAGGACTCTTCGTTTCTCAATCAACTCGCGAACGCGGGCCTGGGACTTTTTGTATTCGGCCAGAGTCGGCAGAGGCCCTGGGCCGCCTTGTTTGTTGTCCGCCATACGCACGTCGTCTGGCCGTATTAGGCGCCGGATTGCGGGGGCATGAATCACTTGGCCGGCGTAGAAGTAGAGCGCACGGCGCGTCTGATGCGTATTTTCGACAGCGAGCGGTGTTGCGATGAATGAACTTTGCACTTTGGCGCTGAAATGTGCACGACGCAGCCCACCTTCAGTCTTGAAAACGCGATGGTGGAGCTGGAGAACACAGCTGCCACCAGACTGGACCAGGCCGAGCTCCGCGGGGCGCCAGGTGACATGTCCAGCCTCCAACTTTTGAGAGTTCAACTACGAACCAGACCTACAACATCGTGGTATTTTACACAGCTTTGCATAAATCTTCATTGTAAAGCGACCGATTTCACAGTGGTTGGGCTATGGAATTAATTTGTATTTTCTGATACTACAATACTAGGGTTATGTTCGCTTGTTTTCTGCTGTAAGAAATAAAGGCTTGATGAATGCCCCCATACAGCGGCAATGGGTCAAACGGAAGGATACCCAATCGTTCTTTATGCATCCCCGCTGCCTTTATTGGTGTGCCTACCAGAATGGGATCCTAGTAGGACATGGCTCTCGTGATATACTCTTGGTATTCAAGGTCATTATAAGCAAAACGCCCCAAAGGCTGGTCCCAAACGAAGAATTCGAAAAATCGGCATCCACTCTCCGGACCGCTCCGTTTGTCATGACGGTGAGAGCAACAAAGTATTGTATCGTCATGTATTATTTTTTTTCCTTAGCGTTGATTTTTCTCCTTCGGGGTTATCACTGGGAACAGATGGCTCCCTTACCATTTATCTCGTTCGCGTCCCTTCATGGCGAGCGGCGGTCATCTTGCAAATCATCAGCTAGTTTTCCACGTTTCAGAGAGGTTGAGGAAGCGGAAGAACTATTCCGCCTTCGGTCTGTGTCCCGTTCTTTTCGGCGGCTGTCTCTGCCACGGTCTTTACGCTCATCTCTTTGGTGGTTGTCGGAATCTTCGTCATCGTAGCTGTGCCGGCGCCTGTACTGCTTCCTTACTGGAGAGCTTTTATCACGACTGCGAGATCTAGACCGACTGCTTGAACCATGAGATGATGATGTGCGCCTTCGACGTGGCGGCGATCTGCTTCGTGACTCCGATTGTTCCCTCCTCCTCTTTCGAGCGGGTGAACTGCGGTCCGACGACACAGACCGAGATTGACGGGAAGAACTGGAGCGACGTCGGTCATGCCTTGGACGGTATGCATCTCCTCTTGGCGATCTGGACCGCTTCCGACCTCCAGGGCGCCTTGGCGACGAAGCTCTCCGGCGTGGAGGAGAGCTGGATCTGCTGCTAGCGGTGCTACCAGATGCGCTCCTGTCGCGTGACCTCGAACGTGAGGATTTTTCTGGCGAATGTGATCGCGGTCGATGTCGACGACGGTCTCGGTCTCTTCTCCGTCCCTGGCGATCGTTTGGGACGTATCTGTCACGGTCGCGGCCATATTGGTCTCGCGATCCGCGATTGTGGTGATCGGGTCGCCTATTCCGATTGTCAGGATTCTGGTTTCCGCGTCGACCCTGCCAAGTATCAGCGCGGTTGTTTGCCCTGTCACGTCGGTCTCGTTCCTTCAGGTCCGAAATTCCACGGTCCCGACGATCAAGATCATCGCGGCGTCTGCGAGCATCGTCGGCAGCCTTGTCAGCATCTCTCTAAAAATGGCCAATTAGCATCTAATGTGGTGGAAATTTTCAACTCGTATGGTCTTGGTCGTACCTTTTCCTGCATCAGCTCCAGCTTTTTCGCCTCGAGAAGTTCCTTGGGCACACCCTGAGGGCTGGTTTGGGCACTCAGCAGCAGCATCCATAGGTCTTTGCAAAAAAGCGCGGTGTCCTTGTCCAAAAATCCAGTGAGTTGAATCTGAAGGGACTTGATGTCAGGCTGTAGAGCGGAGAGTCAGCGGCGCTGAGAAGCACACGGGCAAGCATCGTGTCAAAGTTCCAACAACTTACGTAGCGTGTGCCCTCGATGAGATTGAAGCAGAGCTCAATAACAACATCATCTTCAGTGCCTAGGATATCAGAGATTTTGTTTGCGATCCACCTAAACAAAAGCAGGGTCAGCGTCATGCGAGAGGTGGGCTGGCACGGTTGGGGCCTCGAGAGCTTACTTTTTCATGACCTGCAGATTGACCTTTTGCATGTCGACCTTTTGACTGAACTCTGAGGGAAATTTGGTCGACTTCAAAAGCCGAGCGTCAACTTTCGACGCCATGACGGACAAGGTCGAGGTGCCAATTGCGTGCCAAAACCGGCCCGTTGAATTGACGATCAAAAGAACAATGTTTGTTAGGAAAGGGAAGTGACGTCTGTTGTCAGCAGAAGACGTGCTCCGTCCCGTACCTAAGGCAGTTTGACAGGGTACGGAGTACAGTGCCCAGGTGTTTGGGCGCTCGCACATGCATACGGAGTACAATACTACATGTACCAGCCAGCTGACGTTGTACTACAGCAGTGTGACCCACCTGGCTCTTCACGGCAAGCGGAAGCTCTGGAGCTCCAGACCCCATCTTCAAGGGCAATCGAGGAATGCACTCGTATCAGTCGTAATTGAGACAGCAGTTTTGTGGCCTTGATAGATTTCCAATACCGAGGTTGGAGCTCTATTTTCCCTCCATAACCTAGATCTGAAGCTTCTCAGGCCCGTTCCAGTTCCTGGCAACATTATATTCGCAGGACGAATATATTCGTTATTACGAAGTAGTGAGAACCTCCTCGGACGTACCAGGCACAGCCCAACCATGAGTCCCAGTTACAGGGCTGACATAACGAGCCGTTTCAGCACAACGGAAATTAAATAATTTCCTACTTGGATGAAAAAAAAAATCTGTAAATGATGTGAAGCACATCTTCATCTTTCGTCGAACTGTACGGACTGTTGTCTGGAGTTGTAGGGTCACTCCAGGCTGCACCCAGTACGTACCAAGTACCAGAGACCCCGCAGCATCGCTTTGAGCATTCAATGGCGGACCCTACTACTACTGTTGTCCAACCACGTTCGACAGTTCACCAGTTTTGTCCCGTTCTACGATCGCGGAGAGACCCCGAGGCAACCGTTGCCATCACCCCACGAGTTTCAACATCGTCCTCAGTGCTACTACTCCATGATGGATAGCATGCATGCGCCAACCGTGCCGTCCGGCCCGACCACCAACGGCCTCACCAACGGCAACGTGGGGCATTTGAGCTTCGGGGAGCTCCAACGCAAGAAGGAAAGCTTGGAGGAAGAACTCAAGGCCCTGGGCGGCGTTCTCGATTCCGTATGTTCCCTCAAGCTTCAATGGATTTAGGTCCGCTGATTTCTGACTGGTGTAAAGCACGGAGTAAACATGGACACACCTCTTGTCACTAGTGATGGCTTTCCTCGCTCTGATATTGATGTTGCTCAGAGTGAGTTGCTTCCCAGCCTCCGCAGTCCAAGTACATGGGCTAATTTGGAAAAGTCCGCACCACAAGAGCGAGGATTGTCCGACTCAGAAATGACTACAAGGATCTCATGAAGAATATCGAAAAGTACCTACATCAGCATTTCGCAAGTCTGGGTGAAGGCGACGAAAATGCCGTACCAGCCCCAAGCACCACTGTCCCGCCTGTTCTACCCGACTCGCAAGCTGATGCCTTGGACGAGGTCTTTGCAAAGGTCAACACTGTCGCCGTTGGCGGCCCGGCTGACCGTGCTGGTTTGAAGGAGGGTGATGAGATTCGTAATTTTGGATACGTAAACAAATCCAACGACGACAACCTTAAGAAGGTGGCCGAATGTGTTCAAGGGAATGAAGGGGTACGTTGGAGCTTCCAACCTTGGATTCACTGCATATTCTAACACGTCCCAGCGCGACATTTTCATCAAGGTGTCCAGGGCATCAGGCGCGGCTCAACGTCAGGAGTTGCGCCTGACCTTGACGCCTACTCGAAATTGGGGTGGCCGAGGCTTGCTCGGATGTCACATCCTCCCTTTATAATGCATCGCCCAATACGGGTTTGGGTTACAAATATCGACCGTTTGTTATAGTAACGCAGACACACCAAAATGTGTAATGCACAGACGTCGAGCGACGACCATGCCGATGGTGCGATTGGCTTTGTGTTAGGCATCTATCGCGCAGCTTGGTGCTGGGCATACTGGCCGCCAGCACGGAGCCAACATTTGGGGCTTTGTCATCAAACGGAGCTTGCGTTGGGCAGTGTACTGCGCCTGAGAGGGAAAATGTTACCGTCCATTTTTTGCTGCATTTGGAACAACTCCGACGGAAAGTTAGAGATCAATGGGCCAGCTTCACCCAAGTTGCCAAGGTAGCTTAGGCACCACTTGAGGTGGCGAGGGAGTCGGTGCCTTGCAGGACATAGAGCTTGCAGCTGTGCGCCTGAAAGGTTTACGGATACTGCCTGAAGGATGGGATGATTTTTTCGTTGATAAATACCCATATGCCTGTCTATATATCCGGATGGGATCACAGCACTGCTACTCTTCTACTGATACCCAGGCTCCATAGCTTTCTCTCAGTCGTCAAGCCTTGGTAAGTAGCAACGGGGGAAAAAAAAAACTGGCTGCTGCATCGGCACAGTGTAATTTCAGGCAGTGACGTTATCCACGTTGTGCGAACCCCCGGCCCCTGATTGGAACTCACGCATGCACTGACATCACGTGCATGAGCCCGCCCCCCAGCAGTTTGAATTTTTTTGCTCAGGCTTGCCCTGGTCCCAGAGGTTCCCCGCCGCCTTTCAAAACATCCTGCTGACCGACCTCGTGCAAGTTTGCCTCCAGCACATCCCACGCCCGTGAGACCTCAAAAGGTATTGTCAACCCGGTCGCTTCTCGCATTGCACTCCATCTTCAAACCCACGAATTGCGCATTTGCCGACCCGACTTCAACATTATCTCCCTTCACTATCGCCTCCATCGCCGAGCAGTAGGCTAACTCCGCCTCTTCTAGCACCCCGCTTGTTTACATCAGTTTTTCATCGGGACGAAGATCATCGCGAAGATGGCTGAACAGCAGACTCCCACTTTCAAGCTCGTGCTTGTCGGTGACGGTGGTACCGGAAAGGTTCGTTCAAAAAGATGATTGTATCGGAGTTTTTTTTTTTCCCTCTCTCTGGCGTCGTGGTTAAGGACCCAGGGTGGTGGATATGGTTATCTACCCCGCCTAACGAGAAGCATCGCCTGCCATCTTGATGACGAAATGATGGTTTTGCTAACTGCGAGTTTGCCATAGACCACTTTTGTCAAGCGTCACTTGACTGGTGAATTCGAGAAGAAGTACATTGCTACCCTCGGCGTCGACGTTCACCCTCTTGGCTTCACTACGGTGAGTAGCGATGCGGCTCGCCCGTCCTCTCCGGGCTCCCCAGCCGTAGACGACAACGCGCTAATTATCATTGTAGAACTTCGGTCCCATCCAGTTCGATGTCTGGGATACCGCCGGTCAGGAGAAGTTCGGTGGTCTCCGTGATGGCTACTACATCAACGGCCAGTGCGGCATCATCATGTTCGATGTCACTTCCCGCATCACCTACAAGAACGTTCCCAACTGGCACCGTATGTCCCCGCCTAGCACAGCACAAAGACGAATTTAACCAATTCCGGGTGATCTTCTAATGCACTCCCAGGTGACCTTGTTCGTGTCTGCGAGAATATCCCCATCGTCCTCTGCGGCAACAAGGTGGACGTTAAGGAGCGCAAGGTCAAGGCCAAGACCATTACCTTCCACCGCAAGAAGAACCTTCAGTACTACGATATCTCTGCCAAGTCCAACTACAACTTCGAGAAGCCATTCCTCTGGTTGGCCCGCAAACTGGTTGGCAACCCTCAGCTGGTACGTCTGAACGCTTGACATGGATGTCCCGATCACAAGTAGAACGAGCGACTAACCATTGCTACAGGAGTTCGTTGCCGCTCCTGCTCTGGCTCCTCCCACTGCCCAGGTCGACGAAGCCCTGATGGAGGAGTACCGCAAGGAGATGGAGACTGCGGCCGCTCAGCCTCTGCCCGGTGAGCTTTCCGACGACGACTTGTAAATCAGTCCGCTGTCTGCAAGGATGATGGCAGTTTGTTTGGGAGGATTACGAGATGGTCCAGCTAGAGTCGGCCGTCTTCGCATATTGAGTGTGGCCCGTGTGCGGCCGGGATGACCATTTTATGATACAGGGACGGGAATTATTAAGTTTAAAGAGCGTGATTGGAGAGGGCGGACCCATGCCCATTATACCTCAGTTGGGGTAACATCGCGGCATTGCTGCAAAAAAAAGAAAATAGCAGCTCATCTTAGTTAGACTACAACAAAATTAGTACTCTTGCCATGTTATAGTTCTGACTGCATTTCATGTTTGCGGGCCTCGTCCTAGGTGTTAGTTGATGCCAGAACCGGTTGGATGTCTGACGTGAGGTGGCGTCATGATAGAGTAAGGGAATAACTTTGGGTGATATTTGCTGGTAAGTTCTTGTTCCAGCTAGCGCGTCAGCCCAACGTCCAAGTCCACGCCGGAGCTTGGCATCACGCAGTGGTTGTTTGTATGGTACCTACCCTGGACTCGTCCGGTACTGGTAGTAGTTCGCGGCCAGGTGACAACAAAAACGCATGTTTGGTGGATAAACTGGCTTTTCGAGGTATTCTGACATGTCTCCTCAGCCATGCCGCCGACCAACTGGTCGTGTTGTTATGCTTGGTGGGTAACTCTGTGTGGGGGCATGGGCATTAACGAGCTTGGGATCTCGTGCAAGAGTCAGAGTCTCACCATGTTCGATTCAAACGTAGCAGTACAGACACGTCCTTCACGAGAACTTGGGAAATTACACGCCGCTGGCTGGTCTTAGGTGATCATAGAAGACGCATTCCACGTCCTTTGGCTTGTAGGCCGGTGTGCAATCAGGCCGGTGACACGAGGGTCGTCGAAAGGCGGCCAAATCCTGCCTGGTGCCCGAACATGACTACAGACGTGGGACATGGTCTCGTGACTGGATGCATCCCGAAATCGAGGATACACTACGACGTACTCGGATAATGGATATAGCGATTGTCCGCGGCAGGAAGGAAGGAAAGAATACGGTTCTCAACCCGATGATGTCGGGCGGAGCACAGACCCGGGAAGGAGGGGGGCGTGTGACGTGTGAGTTACGGCCCGCGTCCGCCGCGCCTGCGGGGCAGAAATAACGGTGAAGGGGGAAAGCCTTTATCGTATGGGGAAGAGAATGGCTGTAGGGCTCAAAGAGATCCGGGCGAGACCAATAAACTAACAGACGTGCCTCTTGGCTTTGGATGATCTGGGAATCAATGTGAGTGGACAGAAGCATGCTGGCAGCTACATTGGCACTCGAGACAAAGTAGCCCCATTACGTGGGAAGCAAGAGGGAGACATGGAGCCCGAAACGGGCCAACAGGCCAAAAAGAAAAAAAAAAACACGCAAAAATCTGAAGAATTGATGCAATAATTATAATGCTGTGCGAGCGGAATGCAAGAGATAGGCAGACACGCCACTTCATGTAGCTGAAGGTAATTGAACGCGATGCCTGTGCTGTTCGAAATTTTTGTGTACGGAGCACAGCATCACCCATCTCATATTCCAGAGGTTGGAATCGTGGAAGAACGCACAGATCATGGTTTAGCGTCCAGGATCTAAAGTTGTTTTGTTATGTTGTGTAACGGTCTCCAAGCAACCCCAGCCCAAGACGCGTGCCCTCAAAGACACAAAGAAGCGGGCAAATAGCACCCCGTAGAGAAAAAAAAAACATGAAAAATAAATAAAAGACAACGCATCCTTGTGCACACGCCCCCAAAAATAGTGGACGAACCAGTCTTGGGACCATTAACAAATTGGGTCTGGTTGTCTTCTATGTATTATTTTGCCATGAACCGGGGGCGTGTGGGAGAGTCAATAGAAAAAAGGGACGCAGCCACTCTATTTACTTGGCTGGGCCTATGGAGTACTAGTACCTATGTACAGAGTACGACTAGTCTATTTTTTTTTCAGTATTTTGGGCTCAGAGTCAAATCACCCCTTGCACGTGCAACGCGTGTTGACATGTTTCCTCTTTGGGACATGGCCACGCCAGGCGCGCGATGTGATTTGCCGTTGATTGGGAGGACGTATGTATGTACACAACGTAGAATACGAATTACTACATGCTACAATACGTGGCAGAAGGGGGAATACAGAGACGAGGCGGGTTTGGAATCGCACCAATGCAAACCGACGTGCCCGTCTCATGTGCAAGGCATAGGAATACTGGACGACCGTCTCTGCTGGGTTTATGTGCGGGTTTGAGCAGCATCAATTGTACACGCCCTCCCACGCTCCCCCCCTGTCCAGGCCGCGCTTGAGTGTGGGTTTCGCCTCGGGCAGCACTACTTGTGCGTGTGCGTGTGCTTGCGCATGCTGGCCGTTGCGTCTACTCCGTATTTGTATGGCAGGGCCGCTCTCGCACATGTACCCCCAGCGGCCGTCTACGGTAGGTATACCCAGCACCTGGGTACCTGGGTGCCCTGCTCAGTCAACATTTGAACCATTCCTAGACCACCAACTCCGTAATACTCCACGCCCACGTCCCACGTACACGCTTACACGCTCTCGTGCACCTCTCTTTCCCATCTCGCCCATCAACCTGTGCCTGGGGCGCCTTTGGTCTCTTTTCTTGCATTTCCCTGGCGGCCTACCCTTTCTTCCTCCCTTGGTCGATATCCGAAGCTGAAATACACAGACTTGGGGGCCTAGTAATGCATTACGACTCTTGAAACTCGCCTCACCACCAAATCCCGCCACGATACCTCCCCCCGCTGCTGCTGCCACCGCCGCCACCGCCGACGAGAAAACCCAATGTCGACGACCACGCCCTCCGCCTCTCCGGAGCAGCAATCAGCCAGCTCCCCCAGCCAACATGATTCTTCAATTCTGTCTCAGAGCATGTTGAGTGCCGGAGACGAAAGTCCTGCTCAGGGTGCCGAGATGGAGAAGCATCCCAAGGGCAAGAGGAAGAGGACCGCGTATGTTTGATCCCCGTTGCAAAGCTATAGGGGGCACGTTTTGCAATCGTCCAGGTGGACTAACCTGTGCCAATTGGCAAATCTAGTGCCAAGGACAAGATGATCCTGGAGGAGGCGTACCGAAGCAACCCCAAGCCCGACAAGCAGGCGCGTCAAGACATTGTAGATCGCGTCTCGCTAAATGAGAAGGAAGTCCAGGTATGTCTGGCGCCAATTACGCCCCCACAGAGAGTCGACGACTGGATGGACCTTGGCCTTGGGAAAATATGGTCGCGATGAAACTGACAATTGTAGATTTGGTTCCAGAACCGCCGCCAAAACGACCGAAGGAAATCGCGTCCACTTTCCCCCGAGGAGCTCGCCGCTCTTCGCTTTGGTGGCATGCACCACGTCCCCTCGTCAGATCCTGCCATGTCTCGCATCGACTCGGACAGGTGCTTCCAGTCTTCGGATCCGGCTTCTTCGCGGTCCGCTGCCGACCACCAGGGATCCGTGTCACCGCCATTGACGACGAGACAGACCAGACCAGAGCTGACTAGGTCATATTCCGATGCAGCCATCGTGACGCCTCGAACTGGGGGAATGGGAAGCCATATCGATACGCTACCGCCACAAAGCCAAGAGGCGCCATCCTCGCAGAGGAGTCAGGATTCTGAGTCTATGAGACACTCCTTCGCCAGCTCCGTCGGGTATCTGGCTAATCGCTGGAACTTGGGAAGCTCATTTTCATCACCATCGACATTAGGCCACGGTGAAGATGAACCTGTTAGGTGTGTTTTTTTCTTTGTTACTTTCTTCCTAGTGTCTTTTCTTTTCTTTTCACTTCTTTAACCCCCCCTCTCTTAAAAATAAACACGAGTTCCATATCAGGCCATGTGGTTAGAAACTAACGGCGCTCATAGGTTAGAGTCTCTGCCTCACTCAGCTTCGTTCAACAAGACACATAGCCAGAGCAAATCTCAGTCCAATGTACGGCTCTCTCTGTCTCTCGAAGGAAAGGCAGAACTCATCTCCAACCTTGTGTCTCCCACGCGCCCCGAATCCGCAAGGACATCCTCGGTAGATTCATCTGGTCCCCAACCGCGACAAAGAACAGGCCTGTCTCGAAGCCAATCCGCTCTACCAAGCATCACGCTGCCGCCAATCTCCGCTCTTACCAACTCCTTACCACCCCGTCTTGTACGAGGTCGCTCCCGAGACGTCCATGCGTGGGAATCGTGCGCTGATTCCGAAAGGCGCGACGAATTGACCGCCCAGGCGGAGAACGAGTCCAACGGCTCGGCAGTTGCCGCAATAAGCCTGCTCCGATCGTCTAGCGGGATTCTACAACCCAGCTCGACAAAACGCAACGCGTCGCTGTCCAGGCCCCAACTACAGCGTCAGGCAAAAAAGGCCAAGCTTCACCGAACAGCCTCAACCTCTGTACGCCTGGAATCCGTCGACGCTGACACAGAAAAGAAAGATGTCAGCAGCAAGGTCAACGTCTCTATGCTTGTGTCTCCTACCGACTCTGACAAAGAGAACTGGTCTCCCGACGAAGATGGCAACGCACATGCTCATCTTCTCCATCACCGCCGCCGCCCTCTCCCCGCCGTACCAGCAACCAAGATGCAAAACCCTCGCCGTCTAGGCCGCGTCTTACAAGACCACAAAGGGCCTGCAATGCTCTCTAATCGGTCTCAAACCGCACCGTCTCCATTGAGTTCGAAATCTACCATTGAAGTATTCGACGATGCTAAGCAGAACTCTCGACAGGATGATGTCGAGAAGTTCATGCGCGGGGATGTCAGCCCCAGCAAGAAACCAGACATGGACTGCATCGCTGGCCTCTTGTCCCTAAGCCAAGGGGCGTGGAGATAGATGTAGCCGTGAAATATCTGGAGTAGTAGTACATGTATATCAAAGCTCAGGAAACTGAAGCACAGGTGTCGATGAAATCATTTTTCACTTTTTGTTTTCTAATTTCCTTTTTCTTATAAAAATATTATGCCTTACTGCAAGGGGAGTTTTTGTTTATTTTTCATGATGAACTGGATCTTTGGGGCTGGGTTTTCTTCCGTTTTCTGCCTGGTGGATGTTTCTGTCTGGACATGTTGGGTTACGTTGTGCTTTGCTGTACGGCCTAGGAGCTAACGCGGGGGTGGCAAGGTGGACTCATGTTATCGGCGTACGAATGGTAAAATGGCATGGAGGCTGGGAAATGGCAACATCATTTTACTTGTGCTGCAAAATGTCTTGCTATATGAATGTTTGACGTGATGAAGATGTGTGAATTTCCAATGACACCAAGTCCGATGGCACTATGCCACACTGCGTAGTACTCTCTGGTAGCACAGAGCTGATCTGTTTCATATCTTATATTATATCCTCGTTGACATGTGCAAAGAGAGAGAATATACTGGTATTCTCGCTATGCCTTGGACTAACGAACGCTTGCTCTCAAATGCATGTGTCTATATCTACCCAAATATCCTTCCAATGCTTTCCGACTCTTTCATCGTAACGCCCTGAATGCCCTCAAGGTCATGTGTAAATCTACAATATAGTAGTGCTCTCTTTGTCGAGAAGACATTTCGGATATGCCGTCATGTACACAAGTAGTAATGTTATTTTATAATCCCAACATGCTCATCTGTCGCCTAATAGGGCTAGCACTAACACTTCCCTCTTCGCTGGGAAAGTACGCGCTGTCGGTGTCTATATCCCAGCAGGCACTGTCATCTTCGCCTTGGGAAGCGATGCCAGCGGATGCAGCATTGGCGTCAAAGGGCTTCTGCGACGTAGCCCGGACATTCCAGCGCAGCGTTCGGCTAACGCTGTCAAACCACTCTGTATCGGTGCGGGTGACAGTTGGGAATGGGTACTGTGACGCAGTAATGGTGACATGGTCGCCTTGTCTCAGTTCGATACGGCCCTTGCCATCAAAGGCACAATATGCTGTGGCCCGAGAGTTTCGAGGCACGGCAACCCTCAAAGCCATAGTGTCGGAAAGTACCATGGGGCGGAAGGACAAGGTATGTGGGCAAATAGGTGTCAGTAAAATGGCTGGTATGTCGGGGTGGACAAGAGATCCCCCAGCCGATAAAGAGTAGGCTGTCGATCCTGTTGGGGTGGAAAAGATACAGCCATCGGCTTGCACGACGGTGAGTAGTTCGTCATCGCCATAAAGCTCCAGATTGGAGACGTAGGGCGACGGCCCACGATCGATAACAAGCTCATTGAGGACCTCGAACTGTTCCCCCTCGCCCACCTGCGCGCCCTCGGCGTCATGCCTCCAAACGGTGCATGTAAATCGCATGCGCAAATTGATCTTCATGCCCTCGTCGCCCATAACTCGGCTCAGGTGTGACTTGTATTTTTCAAACTCAAACGTCGTCATGAACCCCAAGCTGCCGAGACTAAACGACAGCACCGGAGGGACAATTCGCTGAAAGAGCCATGACGTGAAAAGAACAGTCCCGTCCCCTCCTAGGGTGAGGACCAGATCAAACTTTTCGGGTTGACTCCAACATAAATCTGGCGTCCAGTACTTGAGCATGTGTTCAAACCGTGAGTTCTCTGCCAAGATGCCGGGCGCATCAAACCTCCTAGAGCTGCGCAATTTTGCGTCAACATAGACATTGACTCCCAAATCAGACCCGTATCGCGGTGTGCGCAGTAGCCACGTTGCAAGCTCACGAGTCAGATAAACGAGTTGGTGGTCTCGAGCCTTGGTGACAATCATGACATTACGCACAGCGCGTTTGATAGGTCGCCGCTGTAGCTGTTTGGACACCTCACGCACGCCAGTCGCCGTCTGAACAAGGCGGGAGTGTGACATCCACTCATCATTCTTGATTTCTTCCAAAACCTTTTCAATGTCAACCGCATCGTCGAATCTTTGATGGTAGAAGCACGGGGACTTCATGGCAGCCAATGCTGTTATGGGTGTTGATTGTTTCCTCGCCAAATCCTGGAGGGCATCGGCAAGCCTCTGAGACGATGCTGCAGAGCCAGGGGTCTCGGTATTCTGTGTTGCCAGCATGTTGTCCAGCGAGAGTGCTTCGGGCTTGTTGTTCCGTGCAACAGAGGCCAGAGCCTTGATAATGGTTTGGCGGGGGATGGAGTCGTGAGAGGGGGCGTTCCGGCGGTGGCCAAGATAGCCTGCGCGAGTCGATGCCGCCCAAGGCCAAGTATCAGCAACGTCAGATGTGAGTGAATTTGAGGATTCACCACCTAAGGCCGGAACAGCGGTAGATGGAGTACGCGGATCATCGGCAGAACGAGTAGCTTTGGCCGTGTTCAAGGAGAGATGATGTGCAGCACTGGATGTCTTGGGGCGGTCGATGGAGGCAAAGGCTCCTTTATTCACTGAAACTGGGGATTCGCCATCTTGGTGGGCACCGATTGCAGGGTGGAGTGCTGTAGGTGACGAGACCCTTTCGGAGGTCATAGCGATGGTGTAAGAAGGTGGCTGTCATCCAAGGTTGACAAATGCGCCGTATGCGTGACACAAAGAAGGGTGGGGGAAGTCACCAAACTCCGACCCCAATGGCCGAGCCGGGCGAAGCACCGAAGAGGAATTCAGGGTGCCGACAATGGGGTTCGCCAGGTGCGCCAGGTGCGCCAACAGCGCGGGCTGACAAGCTGACGACAGACTGCACGTGGGAGATGGCCAAATGGCGTCTCGGTTTGTTGAGCCGTTCTTGCGCCTCTTCCGAAGCTTTACGGATACTGCCCTTTGCTGGAGGGAACTCTAAGAACAAGTCAGCATCAAAAGGGACATGCGTTCAATGCCTGCCTGTTTGTCGGATACCGCGGACACAACGGCGTCTTAGCTCCGTGCGTTTGCCCACCGACAGGATGCAAGTCCGCCCGCATCGGGGTTTGTGTTTGTGTTTGTTCCGTGTATACAATGAACTTACTCTTGGGCGATTCACAGCACCTGGTCTCAAAATGGCCGACACGATGACAGGCTAGGTCGCAGCCAATACGCAGACCAGCTGCAGGTAAACACGTGTTGGTATGGGTGATGAGCGATGACCCAACACTGCGGGCAAATCCTGGCAAGCAGGAGCCGAGGGCTTGGATACGGTCGTGATTGGTGGTGTCGGCTGTGATGAGTATTCCTGGCTGCAGAGACGGTCGCGCCGAGGCGTAGATGAGCAAATCAGTTGCGGAGTGGATGAATGTAGTGGTTGGCTCTCAACTGAGAATGCAACATCCCAGCTCCAGGACTCTGGCTGTATTTGCCTGCGTCTTTGGTGCCAATGTGTACAGGCGCCTACATGCAAACTCGTCACTGACAGACGAACGGTGGACCCAAATACTTGCAAATATCGCTAGCAAAAAGAAAGGGACGGGGTCCAAAATTAGAATACAATCCGGCCAGCGAAGGGAAGAAAATAAACGGTAACACGAAGCTGCATACGCTATCGCTCCAAAGAAGGAAAGAACAGATCTCAAAGAACATAAATTATATAGCAGTTTATCCGAGCCCAATATAAAGAGCTAAAACGAAAAGAAAGAAAGAAAAAGTGAAAGAAAGAAAGAAATGAGAAAGAGAAAGAGAAACAGACAGATTGCGAGCAACCAAGGCAGGCGCGAATGGGTCGACAATGCCAAAGCACCAAGTCGTCAGAACTACCAGAGCTCTTCCACGCCTGGCTTGTTAAACAGACAAACGACACGGAAAACAAAAAAAAAAAGACAGTGAGCAATCGAAACAGCGGAACGATAGAGCGTCTCCCCATCTAGGAAAGGAGCAGAAGGTTAAGCTTCTTGAGCTAGTATTAATAGTTGGCCTTGGGCATGCTGATACGTACAATGCATTGAGATCGTTGACAAGGGTCGTTTGCGGGCCGCTGCATCAGCCGCCGCGGTTTTAAAGCCGTCAACAAATTTACATCAAGTTGATAGACTCCTGAAAATCTCTTCTTTTGGTCGCCATAACATGGAGGGCTTCGCCAGCACCTTCGCAAGTACCTGAGACGTTACGGCTCCCGGCCTCGCCACCCCGGGACACGCTATCAGCCAGCCAAGTGCAAGTGAAAGCACATGCATCCTATATTGTGCTCTGGTGTCAATATGAACAGTCATTTTCAGGGGCGCCAGCAAGCAAATGTTGCAAAGGTTCCATGGGCTTGGCCAAGCTATGCAGCACTGAAGCTGATGGGGCTGGTGCTGAGACGCAACCTGAATCGCCACCAGATGAGGTGGATCTTGAATACAATACTCCATACGGAGTACACATCCGTTTGTGGGCTAGGGGTTTCGCGAGACGACAGGCTGTTGGGTCGACACTCTTGGCCGTCTCAGTTTGTACAACAAGGTGACATGGCGGTTCTACAATCCTCTTTAAGGGCATGCAAAACTGGCTTCGTTATCCGGTCAGAAGAGTGTGAAAGTGGCACGACACAGCCTTGTTACAGCGGTTCAACTGCGACGCTAGTTACTTTGATTTGGGTTTGTGTTTTCATAACAGTATTCGCCTAGATAACTCGGCTCTAAGCTACCTTGACTCGAGGGTGAATTTTTTTTTTTCAGTTGGCAGATCTCTCCTGGGAATCATTACATGACGAGTGCACGGAATTCGGAACAACTCCTCCGTACGTAGCCAGGAGAAACTGTAGCGTGTTTGCGCTCACGGCCAGGACGAGTCGCCCAAAGATGTCGCGGGATGCTGAAACGTATGGGCATCTCCGCTTTCTCAACACCCCCAAGCATGTGGCTCGCCAAGTCTCGGGAGAGATATTAACGGGAAGAGGGGTTCATTTCAGCGCCGGAGGCATGTTGCTCGGAAAACAAATGAACCCTCGCATTATGCGCAGTTGTCTGGTTTCTCCCTCCCCGTGCTATAGGAGGGCCAACCTAGCAACGGCCTGGGACAAATTACGCGGCAATCCTGTAGGGATGGTGCTATTGCATCGTGGGCATTCTTCGAGAACTCATTGGTCCAGACTTCGCTTCCAGTTGAGATCTGTCCCGGTCTTGGTTTCCATGACTGATCGGATGAATGCCTTGATGCTTTGCGACTCCAGTCCATCTCCCGGCATGGCTGCGTCGAGCCCTGATTCGTGATCGCGGCAGCACACACGCTGACCAGTTTCCAGAACCCTGTCCCAATCCTCAATCGAGAATGACCCAGAGCTTTCGGCAAGTAACAGCTCGTCGTGGGATGTAAATGCTAACGCGTGGAGAGACGTGGCCTTGGCCGACTCTTCAGTGCTCGGGTCAATAATGAGGGCGCCAGAGCCGGCCGGTATAGCAAGCGTTGTTGCTGTTGCAATCGTCTTGAGAGGGATGGCGGCAGTCAACAGCCCAAGGATAGCGGCATGGAATAGGGCGGGGATTATGGCGAGATTCTGAGGAGCATCATGGTTAGAGACACTAAGGATTCTGGAACAAGGTCAGTAAATGGCTATACAGGACTGTCTCACCTGTTGAGGCTGGAGTAGCTTTGTGTTTTGATATGCATTTTCAGGCGCCTCCATGATCTGAAGCGTGACCTGGATCGTGCATCTCGGAAAGTTTCGAATCGGGATGAGCTGTCGAAGCGCGGCTTGCAGCATCGACTCGATCTGCCTCTCAGCAGTACCTGGCCAGATGATTAGACTCTAGAAGTTGAGATGAAAAGGCCGATCCTTACCTCCAACTCCTGCGGCTGGTCTCACAACCACATCTATCAACGCCTCAAAAGGGTTTTCGTCACGGCGAGGCGCCTCAATGGGGCCATTGACGGCGGCTGTGACAGCATACCCACAGTTTGAGAAGGTAGCAGAACCGTCAGCATTGGGCAGGTTTGACAGTTGAGCGAGGGGTTCGGACGATGCGGTCATTTTGAGGAGGCGAGGACGTTTGAGGTTGAAATGCGACGGGGTCTACTGAGTACGGCAGCCGAATGAATTTTTGTGACAGTCATCGTCATGCTGAGGCCTGGTGGAGACTGGCACTGTGGACTCGCCCTGACATGCAACTGTTTGACTGCAAATGTGTTTTGAGGTCCCCTGCCTGGCCCGTAGCCGCTTGCCGTTCCCATGGAAAGCAATTTCCGTTGAGATAAGCTATCAGTAGGACATCAAGTGCCTTATGGCTAGATTTTATTTTAATAGAGTGTCGTATTCAGATGGCATGGCTGTCAAACATATTCAGTCTGGAAGCGGCGGCAACCAGCCAATGGCAGTTTGTGGCGGGGCAGTTGGTGCATCAAGTCCCCAGGGCCAGTTCCTTGCCACCTTGATATCCAAGCTTCAAGTCGTGTTGCTGCGGAAGCTCTGACTTCCCATCAGCAACTCTAAGCCTCTATGCTGGTAATCGCTGCAACCATGGCCTCACCGCAGCCCTCGTCGTCACCGGCACCGTTGCGCAATGCCGCACCTGCCATTCCAAACCTCAAGGATAGGATCCCAAAGCTTGAACCCCGACGACGACGACAAGAACCAGACAACCCGACTCCCGTTCCCGAGACTCCCGCCCTTCCTTCGCCGCCCAATACCTCCGACTGGACCTTCATTGTCCCCAAGAGGAGAATTCTGTCCAAGAAGGACCATGAAACATTTCTCGCGTCGCCTACACAGAGCCTAATTACAGGATGGATATTTGGACTCGCCGAGAGCGTGACTGACACGCCATGCTCAGCCGTCAAGAGCGACGACCTTGGAGACACGGTCAAAGCCATTTTGAATATTCTGGGCGAAGCTGGGGAGCTCGTTATCAAATGCCCGCCCAACGAACAAGGTGGTTCTCGATTCGGAAACAAGGCTTTTCGGGGGTTCCTAGACCTAGTGACTGAGAACTGTCCCAAGTGGCACGAGAGCTTAGGCATCGACAGGGAAGCGGCCATTGCAGAAGTGTCGACCTATCTTGACCAATCGTTTGGAAACCGTAATCGTATTGACTATGGGTCTGGCCATGAGCTTAACTTCATGATATGGCTGCTCTGCTTATATCAGCTGGGCCTCCTACAGAAGCACGACTTCAAGGCCGTGACCCTAACGGTGTTTCCCAAGTACCTATCCCTGATGCGTACGGTTCAAATGACATACTATCTCGAGCCCGCAGGCTCCCACGGTGTGTGGGGGCTGGACGATTATCAGTTTCTGCCGTTTCTCTTTGGTGCATCTCAGCTACTACACCACCCGTACATCACACCACGGTCCGTCCACCAACAACTGACGATTGAGGAATTCGGCAAAGATTATCTATACCTCGGCCAAGTCGCCTTTGTCAATGATACAAAGACGGTCAAGGGGTTGCGGTGGCACAGTCCGATGCTTGACGACATCTCATCAGCCAAGTCGTGGTCCAAGATTGACGGAGGAATGCGTCGGATGTTCGTGGCCGAGGTGCTGGGCAAGCTGCCTGTGATGCAGCACTTCTTGTTTGGATCGCTGGTACCGGCAGGAGAAGGGATGAGCGAAGATGATGCGGTCGATAGTGACGGCGATGAGCACGCCGGCCATGTCACCTCTGATTTAGCCGACCACTCGGATCACGCCCATGATGGCACTGGCTGGGGCGATTGCTGTGGTATCAAGGTACCCAGCAGCATCGCAGCTGCACAGGAGATGAAGAAGAGGGCAAAAGGTGACGCCCTGCGGCGGATCCCCTTTGACTGAGTGGAGGGCGTCCAACAGGTGTGAAATCCGCCACGCCGTGGCTATGTATCTGGCGTTGGCGATTTATCCTTGATTTGCTATGGAGCCGTACGTGTATGCATGTGCTGATAAGGGTCTGAGGAAAGTGTCGTAACAAATGCGAGGCAACGATGCTGTCTACTAATGGATAGTTTAACGATGCGACCCTGGTTCTCTGATGTCGTTAACATCTGGAGGAGGAGGAAGAAGAGGAGGAGGAGATGAGATTTCGCATGACAATGCTGCTTCGGGCATTGCAGGCAATGTAATGGAACAGAATTGCACAGATCCTGAGTCCTGCCCGAAGTGAAAGCGCCTGGACTAGGACCACTGCGGATTTACGAACATTTGTTGTTGGCGTCATGAGAGGCCGAGACAGTGACTCGGCAAGCTTTATGGTAGAATGTCATATAACTTATACCACGAGGCACGACTCTGATTAGGGTGTTGCAATATGCCGCCCGCGGGGCCATGGGAAGGATGGTTGTTTAGAGAGTTCTGAAATAAGATGATAGATTCAATGAGTCACTACACTCTAGTTGTAATATCATGGCCAGCATAATGCAGATGCTCCCCTTGATTATCAACTCCTGTATTAGCATGAGTACAAAAAACCAGCTGAGTCCCGCCTTATGCTGCTACAACACCGAAAAGGGCCGGAGCCATGTCGAAACAAGGAAGCCTCAAGTGCTTCTACACGTCCAAACCAGCGGTTAGTTGCATGCATTGTACACGGTCAATAGTCCAGTCATGTCAGCGGGTATAATCGAATGTACTGGCTGGTCTCTCTATATCTTCAAAAGCATATGCCACAAAGACCTATTAAACGAATCAAATCCGGAATTGAGTGACACGGTCCCAATCGGATCAGAACATCTGGGCCCTAAGGTGGCTGTCAGTAATAACGAGGGATAGGTTATGATAGAGGCCTTTTCAAAAGTTGACTCTGAAAACCTAAAAAAAGAACACTCAAATTTCATGGCTGGATAGATTAAATAGCGAGGACAAGTCAGCTCTACATTATCCACAATCACCATCTCGTGATGAAGTTCAGATGGGCATACGCGATACGGGTGAGTAATGTTAGTCATGTTAACATGGATTGGCGGGAAAAGTCACTTCTGAGGACAGACACGCAGAGAAAGCGAAGGGTCTGTACCGTTGCCTTGCCATGTAATAGGGAGGGCACCTGGGGGATTAATCTTAATCACCGCTGGTCTTATTATTGACCTGTCCATCGGCACCGTGGTTCAAGTAGGATGCAAGCAACGTGTTCCCTACACCCACGGTTAGCATCTACTCATTCAACCAGCAGATTCCGCACCTCGTCGCCCAAGTTAAGGCCATCTTGTTCGTCATTGCCCGGATTGATGGTGCTTCGGCCCTCTTCCGCAGAAACGAGACGACCAACCTCGACGGTGAGTCACGTAAACGACCCAGGAACATTACGGACGACATGAGGGCCTAGAGCCGGCGTCCCACGCCACAAAATCCAAGATAGACCAAGCCGTCATCCAACATGAGACATCATCAACCGCAGCAACATGATGCGCTCGGCTTCATAAGCACTCGTAAACGCACGTATCAAGTGCATCAAAGAGGTCGAAGACGATGCCAACCATGTCATGGACAGCCTCAACCCCACGCCGCATGGCTCAACGCTCGCCTTGAAATTTATCCGTTGGGAACAACCGAAAACCCAGCCTCGCCACTGCTCTCATGGGCACCCGCCGCGTCCTTATCCCCGACGAACCTACATAGTACTATCAGCCATGGACTCCGGGGCCAGGGTTCGTTCTGGAAAGCCATTGAAACCATTTCCACAATCGCTCGGTGCTCCCAATGGCACGTGTGCTGAGTTGTCAAATTCACTCAGCCTTATGGCCGGCCTTCATTTCCTTGGCCCCCCCTTGTTCAATATCCCTGAGCCTCGGAAGAAGAAAAAAATCCCGTTGGGAAATTTTTAAAGAATGACGAAGCAAGGGTCGGGATGTGGTTGTGATACTAGTAGCCTCAACTGGCCGAAAACTGATATCACATCATGTGCATAGACTGGCCCAGTCTGGTGGAAGAAGCCGACGCACTCGGCACCCTCGCGCTGCCATGACTTCCAAGTCGTCTGGTCCATCTTTGCCGCCGGCAAGACCCCTGGGCATAAATAGCAATCGCTATTTACTCCGTATTGACGCTGGTTCTCGGCACTGAGCTAAAGTCGACCGACCCCCTGGAGAGATGCGTGCATGGGTCCGCGATGCGGTCTGGTGACATCGTTGCAGCCGGGAGGCGTGGCATGCTTGCTTGGTGGGTAGATTCCATGTCGTTTCACAATCCCTGGCACAGGCGCTGGCGGCAGATGCCCAGCCAGTCTGGTTACTGAACTCATAGAGACATAAAGGTTCTTCGAGGGTCTGGTGGAGTGTTGCTCTGTGGCCCCGTGGTTCTGAGCGTCGTCGACGAGATTTGTAAATGCAGGAGGAGGAGGACGGGCGTGATGGGTCAGCGGGTGCGGTGTTGGTTGACGCTTGGACAAATGGTGTTGTTGATGGATGTCTGATTTTTTTTTAATTCCCTCTTCATGTTGCAGACAATATGTGTCAGCTGTATAATAGGCCAATTTTATTTCGGACGAGCCACCAAAAATTTATATACATACTACGCCGCCTCATATTACTGCCAATCATCCGTCTATTGCAACAGTCTTCTGTCACACGCCAGTCATCCAGTCAAAAGTGACAACTCGCACAGCAATCACAAAAGGCTCAGTCGACACCATACAATGGAGTAGTCACCAACAGATCAGTCACATCAAATGTTACTCCGTAGATTTTTTTTCTTTCAGCCTCACTACAAGGATTGTGCTACCTATGCATTGTGCGGCTGGGCCCGCTGTTACACACACCAGGTATGCGCGATGCATCCTGTAACCTGCATCGACGAAATGACAAAGAAGCCACAAAACACCCGGTTCCATGCTGGCCCTGGGTCACATCTTGCGTATTCTTGCCTTGTGAACAAAAGATTCCCCCCCCAATGCGCCTGGCAATCAGCAAATGCCAAGTTCTTCAGCTAGTGCGAATTACTAGCTCCAGCAAAGGAAAGACAGTCCAACCCCAAAAAAAAGGTCCAACGCCAGGTCATCATCATGTATTTCGTGCATTGACTTTTGGGTTCGCAAAACCGACTATAACCACTCTGAGGTATCTCGCAAATACAATTGACAAAATGAACAATTACCCTGATACTATGCTGTGAAGACAAAGAGAACACAAGAAACGAGGCGGGTCGGTAATACTGTATTGTATATAGGAAATATGGCATGGTGTGTGAATGATTGTGGATGGGACGAGTAGAGCACTAATACCGCGACTAGGCGAAGTCAACTTGCTGTAGAGGAATGGGTCCAGTTTCATCTGTGTGTGAAGTTCGTGTTGGTGGTTGGCGACTTCTGTTGGCAACATGAATGTCAATCACCATTTCCACGAGTACCTCAGCATCTCGATGCAGCTCTCCGAGTTCGTCTTCATTGAAGTTTCGGCCGAGCTTGTCTTCACTGGCCCGGGGTTTGCGGTAAGCGGCAAACACGATGCCCCGGTCAATTCTTTCAGACAGCCGAATACCTGAAACAGGGCTGGCGCTGCGCGAAGAGGTGCTTCGTGCGTACTGGCCGGTGTAGAAGGCACAGGTAAATCCACGCGCAAGGTCATGGGGCCGAGCATGCTGGTTTCGGTACTCAATCCAACCATCAGACTTGAGAACTTGTGTGTGAACGTGTGTAGAGATCTGCAGTGGGGACGGGACGTGATGAAGACCATGCGCCGCGAGAAGACGCCCAATCATTGGCTTGGGACTGCCGTTCAGACAATTGCCGGAAGTCTGCTTTGACGTGTCCGGCCAGAGGTTGACCACATAGACCAAGTCAAAATCGTAGCGCCGAGCGATTCTGGCCGCCTCGAATGCAGCGGCCGCAGCGGGCCGACTGGCGCGTGGCGGTGTCAAAGTTAATAGAGCACAGGGAGCTTGCTGAGGTGACATCGACAGATTCATTGGAGGCACTGCTGATTGGCTACCTTCTTCCAGGGGCTCCAAGGACGGGCTGTCTGGGTTTGATTCGGCAATGTCGTCGTCGCTGAGATTGAGAAATTCGTTGAAGTCGGGCTCTCTCAAGGTAGAACTGCAAAAAGAATGGGTAGAGTGGGCGAGACTAGACTGACTGTATGACCTGTTCAGGGAGAAACGATCAAAAGGTTCGCCCAGTTGAGCCTCAATGTCCTTGAATAGCGACCTGTCGAGGGCGTCTGCGGACTTGACGTTGCGCAATTTGATATCAGCGACAGGTCCAAGATCAGGAGACTGACCTGGAGTGGGCGGGCGCGCTGGAAGGGGAATCTGCGGGCCTTGGCTCGTTGGACTTGCTGATTGTGACCCATGATGCGAAGTAGGGGGAGTAATCAGTCTATTTGGAGGTGGAATGGAAATCTCCAGCGGAGATCGACTTCGAGGGCTTGGCAGCTGAGGTGCCTCGGTGAACTTGGGAGTGCTCAAGGTGGGTGATGTAGGCGATGGTTCGTTGTTGAGGCTGTACTTCTTGGGGAACTGAAATTCACGGAGACCAGTGACCAATTGTTCAGTGTTGCCTTGGGTAAATGAAGGAGATCGACATAAGCGTTGTTTGGGGGGATCATTGCAATCAGTTGTTACTGAGTTGTATGCTTGGCGATGAACAGTTCGTGGAGATGTCATGATATCTGGGACTGATGGCGAACGTCCCGCAGCCTGCCTCAAGCGCCCCTCGTCGCGCGCAGCCATTCGGCTTGTCTTGGGGCGAATAAATGACGGCGAAGGAAACTGTTGTTCGATGGCTAGAACAGCGGGACTAGCTCGTCCACTGGAGGTGGGAGAGGCCTTGCGCTTGTAGGCAAAGAGCCTCTCAAGTCGATCTAAACCGTTGGCCATTATTTTCGGAGGGTTTGTTGGTGAGATTTGGAATATGGCCGTGGCCAAATCTGGTTTCATGGTGGTGGGTTTCGAAAGTTGATTAAGAAGAAAAATTCCTTTTTTCCCCTTCTCCTTTGGTGTGCGCCTCGTCGGCGGGCCAAGATAATTGCTGTGAGGGAGTGAATGTGTTGTGTCCTCCAGGTGACGGCAAAGTGAGTCAAAGGTGACCACGCGAATCGACCGTTGGCGAGCCGCGCCACGATGAACTTCAAACTCGTGTGACAAGGATAGCTACTTCAGACGAAATCCACGTATCATCTCTCTCGAGCACATAATCTCCAATTCTTGACGTAGTGCATGTGCATGTGCACAAGTCGTACAGCGTATGGTCGTCTCTTATTTGCAATCCTTCGTAGCTGCGAGGCAGGAGTTCTGGTCGTGAGGTTCCGAGGAGGCGCAAGCCGCCTTCTCGAGGGTGACGAATTCAGTTGCCAAATCAATACCGGGCCGCCTACTCTGCAGGAGAGTGCAGTGAACCTAATCCCGGTGGCAAGGAATCAAAACCAATGCAGAGATATACGACAGTGCAGTTGGGGGTGTTTGGAATGGTTTTGTGTGCAAAGAGCGGCACTGGGGCGGCAGCGAAGGCGGCAAGGCGTGTAAGTGACTGGTCCGTCGGCAGGGTGGTAGGCGAGAATTGGGCAGGAGCAACCCGGATTCTTTCCCCAAGTCGAAGTCAGGTTCTGCGGCAGAGTGGCAGTATTGGCAAACCTCACGATAGCAACTGCAATAGGACAAGTGAGCAAACGACCGAGATTCAAGTCAACGGATGGTGCATCCTTGGAACCGGGTTTTCATCGACAGCACCTGGGGGCCACGGCAGTCTTTAAACGAGGATTCTCGACTCGACACGGCGTGGACCTGAACATGCCCTCGCACCGCACCTACACGCACACGCACACGCACACGCGAGCCTATGGCCAAAAAGCAAGGCCTACCACGTTGCCCGAGGGTCGTCGGCAAGGGTTCCAGTGTGCCATAGCCACGCCAGGGCAAGCCATATGTCCAGAACCCCCAACACACCCAGCAGCATGTACTCCATACTCCGAACGCAGACGCCCTGGGAACTATTTGGCCCGTACGGCAGCACGGCGTACAGACCTGGTATGGAGCATGTACCACCGCCATGGAGAAAAAACAAGCGGCAGCCCACCAATCTTACACCACATGTACAATGCTGTATGCCGCTAGGTGGCAGGGATACTAGGCTCTCGGACTCTGTCCTTCAGAAAGGCCAAAAACAAAAAACAACGGGGATCCTACTGGGACTACAACCGGGGAGACCGGAGACGACGCCCTCCCCGCCCATTCCTCGCCCTAGCTCCACCAACTCCACACGACTTGTCTCTCTCGAATAGTTTCGTCTTCTAAGAGACAGGTCGGCAAGTTTGGTGTTCTGAAGGCTGGTGAATGCCTATGAGAGCCTCTGCCCATGGCTGGGGCATCAAAGACAGAGAGAAAGAAGTAAGTTACTATCCGATGGTTGGAGACAACGTCTCCCTTCGTCTGACGCCGAACCTCACACTTACACACGCCCGCATGCACAATCTCCAACGTCTTTCCCGTTGGCTGTCTTTGAGCCTAGACAATTTCTGGCCCGCGCCAGCTGAGCCGCGGGAGAGTGCTGGCAGTCAGCGGAATGGATGGTGGCGTTGCTGTACATGCAACCAGTTGACCCAACAGCTTGCTAATGTTGCATGACTGTATGTACATGCAATGTATTGCAATACATACATGTGCTGCAATTCATGGCTGCATTGTCCGGACTTTATTCTTCTGTCACGTTCATCCCATGATTGCATTGCAAATAACCAACTGACGAACGGATGTTCTTCCTGGTCTGAGTTCCCTCGCGGGTGAAACTGATTGCTTCCAGACACCCCGCAAACCAGAGAGCTCCCGCCTAGTATTATCCCCGCGAACCACGCGGCAGGCTCGCCTCGAAAGCCATGACGAGCTCACCGTGATACAGTACCAATTTGCCGTGTGTACGGAGTACATTCTGTCAGAAAGGCGCCGAGGCTGTCCAAGTTGACCCCTCGGTCACAATTACTATTTGACGGAAACTATGGCGGCTGTGTCATATGGACGTCCAAATTGTTTGCTTTTGATGCTCGACAGAAAGGGGGCGGCAACTACGAATCAGAGACGCTCAACGACACTCTGGACCACCAACATGCCAGCCCGGCGATTTGGTTCGTCGGCCATCCTCATCTCTCACTTTTTTGTTTTGTTTTGGGGCAAACCCCTCTTAAGAGCCAGCCCAGCTTGGCAGTCGTTTGCTGGATATATCACCCTGCTTATGTTAGTGTCTGCCGGCTCCAGTGGCTGCAGGCTATACTAGCGGACTGTGTGAAGAAATAAGCACCTGATGTCACCCTGCTGCATCACCACCCGCCTGGTCTTTCAGCCAGGCGATAATCAAATGGCTGAATCCAAAAGGAAAGCATGCGTTGGTGTCTATATCAATACTGCCTGCCAATATTGGACCGCAGACTCAGAAGAGAGCCTCTTGATGTGGACCTTGCTCATTGCCGAGCTGCTTCTCCCCGGCTTTGCCACGACCCGGAATCGGTTGATCCAACCGCGAGACGTTGAACACACGGCAAGTAGTTCTCTCTGCTCTGTACGTACATATGTATCTCGGCGATGAGTTAGGACTAGTCTGCTTTCGTCAAAAAGCTTGATGTCTGACCAGAAAGCAGGAGAAGAGAGGACGTGGCCAACTCGACGTTCATTATCCATTGATGGTGGCGCATACATATGGAGTGCTACTTTCAGAGCACTACAATTGTTAGACCGGGTGCCGGAACAGCACCAGCAGAGGTCGGCTTTTCTCTCTCGCATGAACACACACCCACTCCTCTCTCTCATATTTCCTCCCTTGGCCTTGGGTCGACGGTCTGTCTGTCTGTCTAACCCCGGCTCTGGGTTTTGCTTGGCGGCTTGGCAACGCTTCTGAATCAAGGGTACAGATGGGGTCTTGATGCCATTGTGGGAACCAACGATGATACCAAAAAAGCAAATTTTCCCTGTCATCGAGCTGTCACTTTGACCCGCAAGCAGCAAAAGTGATTTGATTCCACCAATTGGTGTCGGTAATGCGTTTTGGTGATATCCCAGCCTTTCGCTCGTGTGGAACAGCAAGACGTGCGTGCACGATTGAGCCAACAGGTACGGAGTACGGTACGGAGGACTATGCACAAATGCTACATATAGCACATGATGCGAGATCTTTTGCTCGTCCGCCTCTGCAGGTGACCTGTGTCCCCGTTACCCGGGCCCAGAGCCATGGCTCCGAGGGCTCCAACAAGCGGCTGAAGGGCCAGGCAGGCGTTCGACAGGGGAGAAGAGCTGCGCCCGACAACCCGGGAGGACTTCTCCACACTTTGACCGGTATATTGGATATTGGTCCGGCATTATGAGAATAAATCACTTGGCCAAAGTCATTATGACAATCTGTCTAGGTGTTTTTTCAAACTACTCACTGTCTCGTTATTCTTATTTCTGGGTCATGGCTCAAGCACCGTTACTCTGAAGGAAAACATCGTTTTAAAAAGAACTGAGCAGCAAAAACAACCCAGAAAATCTTCTCCACTCTTCCCGTTCGTTCACGGCTCAACGGGCGGGCGCACGGCCCCCCCTTTATTGCCTGTTGTTGCACGACGGGTATATTGACGAGAGGATCCAGGTTGTCATTGTCACTTAATGGCTCAAAACCCCCACCGTACTATTACGAACAATCTCAGGGTCTGGGGGGGGGGAAGGGGGAAGAGAGAGAGAGACCTTCGGCATTGCTTACGGAACGGCTCTCATCCACTGGACCATTTGCATGGCCTGGTATGTTTCCAAGGCAGCTTTGCCCAGTCTCACTCACGGGTTACGAAGTGCACATCTGTTCTCGATGGTAACTACCAGCTCCAATCCTGCCAAGGTAGGTATAGGTATACATGAGCTTTACCACACATGTGCTCTACGACATATAATTTAGCAATGTTTGACTTGTGGCCAAGACGATGTTATTTCTCCCGGGCTGTCTCAGGTGCCCTGACATATGTGCGAACCAGTCTGGTGGTTCTCGGACTGCCAGCATAAAAGAAGAGTGTTTGCTCCCATCAAGACACGATGTCGGTCAATTGTTGGCCTTCCATCTTCTTTCATCCCGCGAAAGTTTGCTATTGGCCCCATGGCTATGCTGCATACACCCCACTCGGCCATTGGATCATTGTTACTTTTTGTCGCTTTTGGATGAGTGCCACGAAGTACTCCGTACATGGTCGACTGTTCTCTGTGTGGTTGGGGCTACATCTGATTGCGTCGAGAACAGTAAAACGTGATAAACTTCCACAATCGACGACGGAACGATTTGTCCGGCAACATCTCTGGTCTAGAATACCCGTCAAAAGGGCGGCTTGGATCTCCCTCGGGCGAAAATAGAAAAGCCAGTTTTCGCGCTGATGAGTGGGCTGCTGATTATTATCTACTTGACTCTATCCCGGAAATCGGACTACGCTGCTGGTGTGGCGCAAGGAGTCACTAATGCAACCATCCAAGCACTTGCAGAACTACTAGCGGAAGGGCGGACATGACAGATTCGGTTCCTGCAGTCTATTCTGGCGGATAAGATTTAGCACAAGCCGATCGGTGCTGGGTGATTTCACCCACAACGAACGACACATAGAGGGCCTCCGGAAACAGCTTTGGCGCCACAAGCAGACGTCACCAAGCTGGCTCTTGTCTCCAGAGCATTCTCTTTTGAAATTTTCCCAACTGAGCATTCCACCAAAAACACTATGCAGTCTTGATCGCTTTCGGCCACCTCTGTCTCGCGGAGAGTCAACCAATTTGGACAATCATCTGCGACTATATGACAATCGGTGTTAAACTGCCAAAAGTATTTCCTCTGCTTCCTGTGGCCCCGATGAATCATAGCCACCGCAAGTGCTGGCTTTTTTTTTCTTCTTTCCGTCCTCTTTTTTTTTTCTGGCGGCGGAACAAGGGTCGACCACAAACTTGTG